GTAAGGTTATATGGAATGGTATTTGATGCACCAAAAGCCAGTTCTTTTGATACAAATCAGGATGCTGTGTTGTTAAACATAGGTGAAAAAAATCAGGGTGTGTCTACAAATCCTACTATATTACAAGATATATATTGCAGAATTGCTCATCTGTATAAGGATCAAGAAGATGCTTCAGCATATAGTTGTATAAAAATAAATGCTGACCATACAGTTGGTGAAAATTTATGGCTGTGGAGAGCGGATCATGATGCAAAATTTTGGAATGTATTGGCAGATACAGCTAAAGCTCCTTATGGATTAATTATCTATGGTAATAATGTCAAAATGTATGGTTTGTTTGTAGAACATTTTCAAAATTATCAAACTGTATGGTTTGGAAAAAATGGCCAGGTTAATTTTTATCAGTCTGAAATGCCTTATTATTTGCCAGCAAACGGTTTAGCAAAATGTTCATTACCTGATTCTGCTACCATAGATGAAATTCCAGGATGTGCATCAATATACATTACTGATAGTGCATCAGGATTTATTGGCAATGGACTTGGTATATATTCATTTTTTCCAAATTCAAATGTAAGAGGAAAGAATGCAGGTGAAAAAGCATTTGATCAAGGTACAATAAAAGCTAAAACAGCAATTGTTGTAGATGCGGAAAATGTTACTCTAAATCATGGTTTAACACATTTCTTAAATGGTGATTTAAATAGCGGAATTGAAGGTGTAATAAAGAATAAAGATAGCTTGTATCCAGAAAATAGTAACATTAATGGTAATGAACAGGTTATGCTTTTGATGAATTTAAAACAGATCATGAAGTCCATGATGAATTATAAGGATGTGTGCTAAAGTAATTAGTAATTGCTAAAATAGTTAATAATTATTTAAGGTTCAGGGTTATGTCATTATCATGTTGTGATTAATTTGACATGGCCCTTCTTTCTAAGGTAGGGCAGATTGAATAATTATGCTAAATTATATAACTGGACTTTTGACAAATTGTGATAAATTTGCAACTATAACTGAAGAATAAAAATAATTTAATGAAAAAAGTCAAAAATATTGAAGAGCTAAAAAAATATTTCAATAATATTGAAAATCTTTTTTCCCTATGAAAAAAATTCATGCATTGATTTAATCTTTGCTTTAGCAACAAATTTTACATTAAAAGCAATGACAGTAGTTGAATTAAGCCTTAGTAGATTTTTTAAAAGAAAATATAGTAGCTTATATCGTGCTATTGGTGGTTATTTTACATCTCGCAAGAATAAAAAAAATAGAGAAGAAAAAAGAGCAGAAGCAAAGGAAAAAATAAAAAGTTTTTTGTTCGAGTCAGCAATAGAGGATACAGGGAATATACATACATTTGCAATAGATATTACTGGCAATATAAAAAAGCACTCAGCTAAATCAGAAGATAGAAGTTATATTCATTCAGGTTCTATTGGAGGAATGAGTATAGGGCATAATTACAGTGTTATAGCACTAAAAGAAGATTATGGTTGGATGCTTCCAGTGACAATAGATAGAGTGCCACATAGTGAGAATAAATATGATTTTAGTGTGATTCAAGCTGAATCTGTATTA